GGCATGATCATGGCCTAACTGCAGCCTCGACCTCCTGGGTTCAGGTGATCCCCCTATCTCAATATCCCAAGTAGTTAGGACTACAGGTGTGCATCACCACAGCCAGCTAATTTTTATTTTTATTTTTTTAGAGATGGGGTCTCTCTCTGTTGTCCTGGCTGGTTTCAAACTCTTAGGCTTAAGCCATCCTCCTTCCTCGACCTCCCAGAGTGTTGGGGTCACAGACATCAGCCACTGCACCTGGCCTGCTATATGTGGTGATACGCCGTTTGGTCATAAGTCTATTTTATCTGTCTAGGGATAATGTCTAGGGATTATCAGTTATTATTCTCTTGTCACCTGTCAAAACAGCAGTATCAGTGGCATGAAGGTTGTTGAAACTACAGTCATTTCAGACTGTGTCACAATAGAAATTGGCCTATTTGTAATGATGAACTCAAACGTTCATTTTTAAGGTATCTCCTGTTTTCTACTCATTGTGTCTCATCCATAGCCTGGAATATCTTAGTGATTTTTGCATTACTATTTAGTGGCAAAATCATTCCTTCAAAGTAAGCTTTTTCATGGGGTCCCCTGTTTAAAACAGACTAATCTGGATGCCTGATTTTTTAGAGTGTTTTTCCGATGGAAATGGGGGTTATTCAAGAATGAAAGGAATCGCTACAGATCTCACAATGGAAAACCACTCAAGTCTGAGTTTTTATTGCTGGTACTCAGGTGCTAGGTTCACTTGGTAGGCATGTTTGCTCCTCATTTTATTTACTAAGGGCCATGCTAACTCTTGCTCCAGTCTTACCAGCAGTCTACTGTCAATGCTAAAAGCATTCTCCTCTCAATCTTTGTGCAAAAGTTTCCTTCCAGGTTGTTGAGCTGACCTACGAAAGTCATGACGCTAATAGAATTGTCTTAACACAAAACAACAGCCAACAGCATTGAAGAAATCAGAGCTGATGCAGGCTTTCATGTGTGGGAATGCTTTTTCCTCTCTTGAATGAAGTTTCTTAAGAATGGTCTTAAGTTCTCCTGTTCTGTAACCAACAGGAGGACTCACAAATGGCAGTGGAAGATACATCTCTGCTGCTCCAGGCGCTGAAGCCAAGTACCGCAGTGCAAGCAGCGCCTCCAGCCTCTTCAGCCCGAGCAGCACTCTTTTCTCTTCCTCTCGTTTGCGATATGGAATGTCTGATGTCATGCCTTCTGGCAGGAGCAGGCTTTTGGAAGATTTTCGAAACAACCGGTACCCCAATTTACAACTGCGGGAGATTGCTGGGCATATAATGGAATTTTCCCAAGACCAGCATGGATCCAGGTGAGTACTTGGCTTTGGCACTTAAAGTACCTGAAGTCTTAATGCCTTAACTGTCTTGCCTCAGATAGTTATCTACTAAAATAAATTGCCATATAGTAATTTTTAAAAAGTGTGCCTCTTAGTGTGCATCACATTATTTTAAAGGGATTTAAGAAACATGAACACAAAGACATACATACACTTTGGCTCCTTTAAGCATTATGAAGAATATTTTGTTCTCAAAGAGATGCTATTCAAATACAAATTTGATCTAGGGTGCTTAGGAGAAAGACAGCTCTGCCGCCTTCCTTTGTTGTGCCCCTCTGTAGAAGTGACAGTCTGTGTAGAGACGAGTGAAGAAATTATTATAGAAGACAGAATTTGGTTTGGGTTACCCCTTCCTGTTGGGCTGCTGCAGTGGGCTTCACAGAAAGCGAACCTGGGCCTGGGGAAAGAGCATAATTATCGTTACAACACCCATTCTTCTTTCCCATTTCTGTTTCTGTTTCTTTCTCTGACTGTGTCCAGTAAAACAGTTTCTACAGAATTTAACCTCCTCCTTACGTTCTGCCAGCTTGCTACTGGGCCAGAATTTCTCATATTTGGATTCTATAGGCTACATTCAGAGGCAACATGTTTTTCCTGATACTAATCACCTAGACTAGAAAAAGGCAAACTGTTACTGTTTCAGAAGATAATGAATACTGTTTTATATGAAAATAAGTTAAAGAATATGGTAAGGACTGTAAGCTTTGAGTTCATTGATGTGAGTCTGGTTTCTAAAGGAAAAGTTAAGTAGGGTACTTGTTGCATTATGCCTCCCCCCACCCTGCCTCTCTTCCTGCACCCGTATTTTCATCTTCCCTCCCACCTTGCACATAAATAAGATTTAGTACATATACCCTATTGGAATGAAGTGTACCAACATTTAAATATGATTTTCAAAGCTCAGTTAAGTTAAGGCCTTCTTCTCTATTTAAATATTCTTCAAGGAAGTTCAAGTGATTGATCTAAATAGAGTTCAGCTGATTGTGTGCATGTGTGTGCGCACATGCTCACTCAAACACATTTCAGAACTGATGCAGTCTGTAAACCAAGATACCCTGCCGTACCTCCAGGTCTTTTTTCAGTGCTGTGATTGCCCTTTTTACTTTATACTTCAGATTCATTCAGCTGAAATTGGAGCGTGCCACACCAGCTGAGCGCCAGCTTGTCTTCAACGAAATCCTCCAGGCTGCTTACCAACTCATGGTGGATGTGTTTGGAAATTACGTCATTCAGAAGTTCTTTGAAGTAAGGCTTTGTTCTTTGTATCCTTTGACTTCAGAGAATCTGCAGAGCATTTTGATTTTCATTAGCCTTTTTAAGAATAGCAGTCCCATTCCAGTTCTCAGAATGAAGGGTATGTGGTCTTTTTAAAGAGCTTTTTAGTGTTTTTCCAGTTCATTAGCAGCAATCTATCTATTCTGTATGGTTTAAATACCCAAACAGATGCCAGTCTGTTTTGGAAATGTGTTTTGAAAACTGTGTCCTCATTTAGGACCTAGCACGTTATTTCAGATTGTTACAGTAGTTTCACAAAGCATGTCCCTTATGGAGGAAATAATCCCTGTAAAGTAGTTTTAGCAGGATCACAATAACATATTGCCAAAAACAAATTTTTCTAAGGTTCTTAGAGAATTGTCTTTGGACACCAACTCCAGTATATTTATTATCAGCTTAGGGTCACATTAATTGTTAAAGGCTTGCTGCTTGGCTACTCATTTGGCCTTGATACCTTATTTTGCCTCTGTTAGTCTGAATAATGTTCACTCTTTTTATCGCTGTCTTTGGCAAGAATTAATGAGATTATTAGGTTAATGTCTTTTTCCTCTAGTAAAATTTCAGAAAGGCAGGGATTTTTTTGGCTTACCATTGTAGTCCTAATTATGTGGCTTTGGCAACTCTAAGGTATAGATGCAGAATGGCACAAAACTTCAAGATGAGGAGGAAAATGCCAGAATTCTACACATTACTACCACAAAACAGATTTCTAAATGTCTTAACATCTCATTCTGTTTCATTTGTATGAAGATGAAAAAATGATGTGCTCATGTTTTACCTTCCCAAGTTTTTTCATGAAAACTTAACATCTTTTCACCCTGAATTATCCAGAAACCAATCTAAACGTGACTTTTATATTTTTGATTTTAGAATGTCTTGGTATTGCCATTTTGTCACATATATAAAAATACAGAGCTCTCTAGTTCTGGAGGCTGATGCAGCTTGGGGCGGCAAATTGTGCAATGGATGATAGCCATGTGATTTGGACCAAGCTTGAGCACTTCTCTGGATCTTAGTTCCCTTGGGAGAATGAAGAGGTTGGATGGGCTGATAATTCGTAAAGTCTCCTCCAGTCTCATGTTATGTGACTCAAATGAAAAAGCCAAGGGTGGAAAATCATTCTAAGTAGAATTTTAACATTGTATAGCCTTACCTCCTGATTTTACTAATTTTTCCCCTCCCAATTTTGTTCCCTTGTGTAAAAGGAAAAAAATTCAATTTTTGTAATGATGTAAAATACTACTTCAAAACAGTATGTCCGTGTGTGCTTTGGTAGTAACAGGGTATAGAATCTTCTTTTTTTTTTTTTTTTTTTTTTTTTTTTTTTTTTTGTTTTTTTTTTTTTTTTTTTTTTTTTTTTTTTTTTTTGAGACAGAGTCTCGCTCTATTGCGCAGGCTGGAATCCAGTGGTACGATCTTTGCTCACTGCAACCTCTGCCTCCTGGGTTCAAACAGTTCTCCTATCTCAGCCTCCTGAGTAGCTGGGATTACAGGAGTACGCCACCATGCCAGCTAATTTTTGTATTTTTAGTAGAGATGGGGTTTCACCATGTTGGCCAGGCTGGTCTTGAACTCCTGACCTCAGGTGATCTGCCCTCCTTGGCCTCCCAAAGTGCTGGGATTACAGGTGTGAGCCACCATGTCTGGCTGGATTCATTTAATAGTATGAATTAATGGCAGCTTTGAGGAATTACGTGTTTGCTTAGTAGATATTTGTAGTGAAACTACTATTGTTGGGTATTGGAGAAACTTCTTAACATTACAAAGGGTTACTCATAATTAGAGACCGAGAACTACTGGCTCAAAGAAACAATGGCTGTTTAAATATAAGGTTTAGTTAATCATGGATATCAGGGCTAAAAGAGGTTATGCCGGTGGTTGATGCAGAATAATGAATGCTTTGCTTTCCCTGGTTTATTTCCTTCTACTTAAGTAATGGTGTTCGCCCACACATTATGTCTAGTTTGGCAGCCTTGAACAGAAGCTGGCTTTGGCAGAACGGATTCGAGGCCATGTCCTGTCGTTGGCACTACAGATGTATGGCTGCCGTGTTATTCAGAAAGCTCTTGAGTTTATTCCTTCAGACCAGCAGGTAATTGTAAGTTTCCCCTTTAACTTTTCTCTTGGTGTTTGATGTTTCTCCATGGTACATGTAGTGAACCCTGTAAATCTGTCAATTTTCAGTTTTCTTTTATGGTTTTGCTTTGGTGCTCATGGCTGCCTTTTTGTGCATGGCAAGCATGAACTGTGCAAATAATTTAAATTCATTGTAGATCAAGTGTCTTGTGTTAAAACCTGTGGTATCCAATACTCTTCCAATTGGCTAGAACTTAGCCTTTAATAGGTTCAGTTTTACAGGTGGGCTTTTTTTTTCCATGAATGAAAGCAGGTAAAATGCTGATAAGCCATCATTTTCTCCAACAAGTCAAACTTTCCTCCAACCCACCTTCCATATTTTGTTACTCCTTCTCTCCTGTTCTTTCATCCAATCACCATCTGCTGAACAAGAGCCTACCCAGTGAAGCTTGGCACATTGACCTGAAGCCCACTCTGTGCCAGACTTCATCAGCACAGAGACGACTAAGACCTGATTCCTGCCCACAGAGTGTAGTCTGGTGGGGAAGAGCAATGGTGGTGAGCAGTGGTCAGGATGGGAGAAGGGCCTCTCACCCTCCCCAGAGTCCCTGAGGGCCGGCTTTGCAGGAGAAGGCAAGGCTAAAGAAGGGTTAGACGGGGAAAAGGAACAGAAATGAGAACACGTAGGTGCTTTGAGTGGGGAACTGACAGAGAAGTCACCAGAAGAGGCCCACAGCTTCTTGACAAAGTCACTGCGTGGGTCCAGTGAGCACCGCACACACCACGGGGCCCAGGAAGCAGAACAAACCCACAGGCAGGGTGTGCTACAGTTGTGTTTGTGCTAGGCAGTGCGCCCAGTGTCTGGTGCTTCTCATCAGAGCCTTCAGCTTTTGGGCTCTGAGCTCACTCAGCCCTTCTCAGTTGAGGGGTTGGTTGGCTGTTGTCTGGCAATGATGACCCACTTGCCCTCACTGAGAACAAAGTTCGGTAATGAGAATCTTTGTTACGGACTCAAGTTCTGAGCCAGACAAGACACCCAGCACCTCTGAGTCAGAGCACACCGCTCCAGACCACTGCACTGGTCCTGGCATGGCAGCTGAAGGCAAGATGTCCAAAGTTTTTAAAGTGGTAAGTTTCATAGGAATGTGTCAAGATGCTGGTGAAGGGAGAGAATGTTGGAGACAGAGCAGTTCTGGAGTTCATTCATTGAGTGCTTAGTACTAGAGATACTGCGTTAATAAGAAAGTATAAGTAATTAGAAGCAAGTGTGAAGCTCTTGTAATGTTTAAGTCATTGCCAATTTTGATTTTTCTTGAATTTTCATGGATAGTTGAATTCTTTCTCTTTAATTTTCTTGTTTTTCTTTTTTTCTTTCTTTTTCAAGACAGGATCTCATTCTGTCATCCAGGCTAGAGTGCAGTGGCACATTTACGCCTTGCTGCAGCCTCAACCTCCTGAGCTCAAGTGGTCTTCCCATCTTAGCCTCCCAAGTAGCTGGAACTACACGCATGCTCCACTTCACCTGGTTAATATGTGCGTTTTTGGTAGAGATGGGGCTTCGTCATGTTGCCTAGCCTGGTCTTGAACCCTTGGGCTCAATTGATCCTCCCATCTTGGCCTCCCAAAGTGCTGGGATTATAGATGTGAGACACCATACTCAGCTTTTGTTCTTTTCTGTGTTATATTTCTGCACATACTTTTTCTGGTCATGTTTCTCTGTGGTGTCTTGTTTTGGGCCTGATTTATGCTTCCTGCCATGGATTATTTACTCTTTTCTAGATGCAAGTTTGTCATTTTAGGTTAAATTAACTCATCTTTGTTGGAATTTTTATTTCTTCTGGATCACAAAAATATCCAGGGAAGCCATCTCTCCTTCATTTTGCTTATAAGTGTTCCTTGACTTTATTTTTGAATAAGCTTCATTTTCTATCATTCCCATAATTATATTTCCAGAGTAAATGACTCTCTTCTGGGCCCAGCAGAGTGGTACATGCCTGCAATCCTAGCACTTTTGGGAGGCCAAGGTAGGTAGATCGCTAGGGCCCAGGAGTTTGAGACCAGCCTGGGGGGCATGGTGGTGCACTCGTATAGTCTCAGCTAGGTGGGGGTGCTGAGGCAGGAGGATTGCTTGGGCCTGGGGGTTGAGGGTGCAGTGAGTCATGATTGCGCCACTGCACTCCAGCCTGGGTGACAGATCCTGAGAGACACTGTTTCAAAAAAAAAAGTAATTATTATTCCCTTATCACTGTGTCTATTACCTTTTGCTTCTTTAGCCCCTGCCATTGTAATCTTTATTTAATTATGTGATATCTTAGTTGCTTTGAGGTACTCACCATTTTGGGGATTTAAGACAGTGCATTCGTTAACATCACTATTTTGACGTGACTTGCAGTCTTCTAACAGAAATCCACTGGCAGCACAGTTTAGCCAATATACAGAGATTGGAGACAGCAGAGAAATTGGGCAGGATGTATCAGGTATAGCCATGGTGCAGGCATTTAATTTCAAGATACCTGAGACCTGGGGCAGTGAGTTTGGGGGAAGGGCTCCAGTTGAAATCCCACTGGTCTCTCTTTCTAGATATCCTTTCACCATCACCCGTTTTCTACTCACATACCCTGGTCCTGGCCATTTCGTCTGCTTCCCGTGTTTGGACACTTTTCATTAATTAACCAAGAGAACCATTCCTGCTGACTCTGTAGTCACTATGGCCTAGTAATAAGATCATAGATGCTGGAGTCACAGCTTCGGGCTAGAATTCTAATTGTGTCACTTTCTATCCATAGTTTGAAATATGTGACTTAAGCATCCTCTGTCTCAGTTTCTTTTACATGCCAGTAGAGGTGGGGTGTTCAGGTTAATATATTGTTGACAGTTTGGTTTACTGACATAATGGTTTATCATATAGTTCAGCCAGATTGCTTGGGTTTGAATTTTGGGAATCTGGGTCTGTAGTTTTGTAAGTCTTTCAATTTGTCTTTTCCTTGGTTTCTCCATCTATAGTGGTGTCCACTCCATAAGATTGTTAGGAAAATTCAGTTAAAACATGTCACACACTTAGAGGTATGCCTAACCAGGGGTAAACTCTAGATTAATTAGTATCATTACTATAAATACTTTACAGGGTTGTGATAATAAAAACATGATGAATTGTAATGTGAAAGTGTGTGAAATTCTTTAGTTTGGTTTAGTTTTGTTTTAATTTTAGAGACCGGGTGTTGCTCTGTCTGTGGTGCCATCATAGCTCACTGCAACCTGGAACTCCTGGGCTCGGGTGATCCTCCCACCTCAGCCTTCAGAGTAGCTGGGACTGTGATTGTGTGCCATGTAGAAATGCTTTCATACAGTATAGAAATAGCCCCTGACTTATGATTTTTCAATTTACAAATGATAAAAAAGCATTATACATCAGTAAAAACTGTAGTTTGAATCTTTTTTAAAATTAAATTAATAAATTTTTTTGAGACAGTCTTGTTCTCTTGCCCAGGCTGGAGTGCAGTAGCATGATCTTGGTTCACTGTAACCTCCACCTCCTAGGTTCAAGTGATTCTCCTGCCTCAGCCTCTTGAGTAGCCGGGATTGCAGGCGCATGCCACAGTCAGCTAATTTTGGTATTTTTAGTAGAGATGGGGTTTCACCATGTTGGTCAGGCCGATCTTGAACTCCTGACCTCATGATTTGCCTGCCTTGGCCTCCCAAAGTGCTGGGATTTACAGGCATGAGCCACCATGCCTGGACAGTTTTTATTTTTAATTATATATTTTTTTTTTTTTTTTGAGACAGAGTTTTGCTCTGTCACCCAGGCTGGATTGCAGTGCGTGGTGTTGGCTCACTGCAATCTTTGCCTCCCAGGTTCAAGTGATTCTTCCTCCTCAGCTTTCTGAGTAGCTGGGACTACAGGCTCACACTACCATGCCCAGCTAATTTTGGTATTTTTAGTAGAGATGGGGTTTCGCCATGTTGGCCAGGCTGTCTCGAACTTCTGACCTCAAGGGATTAACCCACTTTGGCCTTCCAAAGTGCTGGGATTACAGGGCGCCTGGCCTATAAATTATTTTTCTCATTATAAAATAGGCTCTGTGTTAGATAATTTTGTCCAACTGTAGCCTCCTGTAAGTGTTCTGAGCACTTCTGACGTGGCCTAGGCTTAGCTATGATGTTCTATAAATTAGATATATTTAAATGCATTTTTTAGTTAATCCTATTTTCAACTTATAACAGGTTTATTGGAATGTAATTCTTTAGTAAGTTAAGGAGTATCTGTTCCTGATATAGGCTCCTGTGTATTTGAAAATGTCCACCCTTTTTCTTCTTAAGATCTAAGAGGTGGCCAGGTGCAATGGCTCACTCCTGTAATCTCAGTACTTTGGGAGGCCAAGGAGGGCAGATCTCCTGAGGTCAGGAGTTCGAGACTACCCTGGCCAACATGGTGAAACCCTGTCTCTACTAAAAATACAAAAATTAGCTGGATGTTGTGGTGCACAGCTGTAATCCCAGCTACTCAGGAGACTGAGACAGGAGAATTGCTTGAGCCCAGGAGGTGGAAGTTGCAGTGAGCTGAGATCGTGCCACTGCACTCCAGCCTGGGTGACAGAGCACAGCTCTGTCTCTCAAAAAAAAAAAAAAAAGACTCTAAGAGGTTTTTTCTTTGTTTTTGTTTGTTCCTTTGTTTGTTTTTACAGGTGTGAGATCTTTTTAGTTACTGGTTATTGTTACAGTAAATCTGTTGTTGGAAATTTTACTGTAAATTTGCTGTCATATGAAAAGAGTCAAGTCCTCATTTGTTTCCCTGTTGTCATTGTTCCACAGTGTTATTCTACTTTCATCATCACAGATTCTCTGTTCAGTGCTTTCATGTTTGGTGACGAGAACATTCTTTGTCCACATATTTGCTTGCTGTGATTCTGGTGGTGCTTTCTTTCTTTGTCTCCAATAGAATGAGATGGTTCGGGAACTAGATGGCCATGTCTTGAAGTGTGTGAAAGATCAGAATGGCAATCATGTGGTTCAGAAATGCATTGAATGTGTACAGCCCCAGTCTTTGCAATTTATCATCGATGCGTTTAAGGGACAGGTAAGTGACGCAGGAGAGAAATAATGGAAACAGATTGATTTCCCTTGTGAGTAGAAAACAAAATAGAATTTGTGGCATGTTCTCAATGTACTTGATGTATTTTATTTATTTATTTATTTATTTTCGAGACTGGGTCCCACCCTGTTGCCCAGGCTGAAGTGCAGTGGCGCCATCACGGCTCACTACAGCCTTGAACTGCCAGGTTCAAGCAATCCTTCCACCTCAGCCTCGCAAGTGGAAGAGGCTACCACACCTGGCTCATTTTTAAATTTTTTGTAGAGACGGGGGTCTCACCATGTTGTCCAGGATGGTCTCAATTTTCTACAGTCAAGTGATCCACCTGCCTCAGGCTCCTGAAGTTGCTAGGATTATAGGCATGAGCCACTGTACCCGCCTGAATGTACTTTAGACTGCAGTAAACAGTGATCCTGTAGTACTTGACAGTAGCAGTACTATCAAGTACCTGTGTGCTGCAAGTCTCTTCGCTTCAGTGTCTCTAGGCCTTCTTTCCACATTAATGCAGATGTCTGCTCACGTTGGTATGAAACACTGTTGTAAGAATTGTTAAGATGAAATCTCATATTTGAAGAATAAATTATTTCTCTTGGTTAAGTACGATTTATCCTGATATTTCAATGCTTTGGTTTTAAATTTGATTTAAAATTCAGGTAATTTACAGAACTAATGTAGGTCATGTGTGAATGTCTTTAAAATAACAAGATGCTTCTTGCTTAAATTTTTTTGGAGAGGATGAAGACCAGGTTGGTTTGAATTGTGTTAAATGGCCAGAAATAACTTCTAGTTTCTCCTGTTTTCTCGTATGTCAAAAATCTCTTCTTAGCCTCAGCTTCCAAGTAAAATTGTTACTTATATATGTAAATACCTTTGTTTTTCCAGAATTGCCTCTGAATTGGCTGTAGTCAGTTTTTTTCCCCCTAAAACACAAAGTCCTTATAGTTTCCTAAGGTAGGTGGGACAGAACAGTAAAACTCACCCTTTTAGGTGTGTGAGATTGGCCTTTCTTTAGGAAGGGGGAAAAATGAGAAAAAGCACATAGATTTTCAGGTATCACTGCACTGCTAAGTGTGGATTGATAAGGGATTTAGTAATCTTTAGGTTTTGCTGCTTGCTTGGTGACCATGATGGTAAGTTACTGACAGCAACACACGTGGTTATTGGGAGTTTCTGACTTAATGAAAAAAGGGTAGATCTGTTTACCGTAACATTAAGATGTTACATTTGTGGAAGCATACAACAAGGTAAAATGAGAATTTTTTTTTTTTTTTTTTTTTAAGACGGAGTTTCACTCATGTTACCCAGGCTGGAGTGCAATGGCGCGATCTCGGCTCACCGCAACCTCCACCTCCTGGGTTCAGGCAATTCTCCTGCTTCAGCCTCCTGAGTAGCTGGGATTACAGGCACGCACCACCATGCCCAGCTAATTTTTTGTAGTTTTAGTAGAGACGGGGTTTCACCATGTTGGCCAGGATGGTCTCGATCTCTTGACCTCGTGATCCACCCGCCTCGGCCTCCCAAAGTGCTGGGATTACAGGCTTGAGCCACCGCGCCCGGCCAAAATGAGAATATTTTCAAGATGCAACTCTCAAAGAATTGGTAACTAGAGTGTATAAAGAACCTCTCTGTAATGAAGTCAAACAATACAACATGATGTAAAAGTGGGCCCAGAACATAAACTGACATTTAATAGAAGAAACACAAATTGCCAGTAGATGTGAAAAAGCACTCAGTTCCATTAGGAACAAGGAAAATGCAAAATTAACCCACAAATGATAAACCATTTTTACCCATCAGTTGCTATGTGCTGGCAGGAGTTGGGTACACCGGTGGGAATAGATACTGACACAACCATTTTGCAAAATAATTTAGCATTGTCTTTCAAATTTCAACCTTTATAGTTTCTGTAATCCTGTTGAAATATCTGTACATGTGTACTACAGGACCTATTTAGACATGTTTAAAACACCATTATTCTATTAAAAGACTGGAGCAACCCAGATGACCATGAGCAGGGGATTGCATTTTTTAAAAATGTCATATACTCAGCCGGGTGCGGTTGCTCACCCCTGTAATCCCAGCACTTTCGGAGGCCGAGGCAGGTGGGTCACCTGAGGTCAGGAGTTTTGAGACCTGCCTGGCCAACATGGTGAAACTCTGTCTCTACTAGAAATACAAAAAGCTGGGCATGGTGGTGGGCACCTGTAATCCCAGCTACTTGGGAGGCTGAGGCAGGAGAATTGCTTGAACCAAGGAGATGGAGGTTGCAGTGAGCTGAGATGGTGCCATTGTACTCCAGTCTGGGCAACAAGAGCAAAGCTCCATCTCAAAGGAAAAAAACAAAATCTCATATACTTAGCTAATTTCTTCCTGTATACCATGTAGAATAAATTACAGAAACTCACAGTATTGTAGATGAAATGGGAATCATAATGTTGAGTGAAATTAATCAAGTGTAGTATTTTTATAAAGCTAAAGCAAAACTATACGATATGCTATTTGTGTTTACAGTTGTAAACATAAAGCTACATGTATAAAGTCACACATAAGGCTAGGCATAGTGGCTTGCACCTATAATCCTAGCACTCTGGAGGGCCAAGGTGGGAGGATTACTTAAGGCCAGGAGTGCAGGAGCAGCCTGGGCAACATAGTGAGTCTCAATCTCTACACAAAAACATTTTTTTTAAAGCAGCCAGATGTGGTGATGAGTGCTTGTACTCCCAACAGTTTGGGAATGTGAGGCAGGAGGATGACTTGAGTGCAAGAGCTCAAGGCAGCAGTGAGCTGTGATCACCATTGCACTCCAGCCTGGGTGACAGAGTGAGACCTTGTCTCCCAAACAAAACAAAATCATACGTAAGCACTGGGTGTGATGACTTACACGTGGCAAGCCCCCAGTAAGTGTTAGCTACTGTTATTATTCTTATTGTTCTTGATTACAGTTCTGAAGTGTATGCCATTCAGCACAGAAGAGCAGAATCAAGGGTGGTGTGCTTTCCTATTGCTCTAAACCCAGCAAAAGAATCTTTTCTTATTGCTGAAAAACACCACAGTTAAATCAAAACATTGCATTGTGGTTGTTCTGGTCGTGTGAAAGCATTCAGGATTTGGTCCCAGTCCTTCCCCTTTCTGTTTTTAATGCTGTCTTTTGGAGAGGCTGTCAGTTGACATGCTTCACTCTTTTTTTTTTTTTTTGAGATGGAGTCTCATTCTGTCACTAGGCTGGAGTGCAGTGGCTCAACTTCCGACTCCCTGGTTCAAGCAGTTCTCCTGCCTCAGCCTCCCGAGTAGCTGGGACTACAGGCGTGTGCCACCATGCCCAGCTGATTTTTGTAAAGCTTTTAGTAGAGACAGGGTTTCACCATGTTGGCCAGGATGGTCTCGATCTCAACCTCGTGATCTGCCCGCCATGGCCTCCCAAAGTGCTGGGATTACAGGCGTGAGCCACTGTTTCCGGCCGACACTCTCGACTCTTAACTGTGTTTTCATGACTTTGACTAGTCATATGTTTCTTTCTTGGCAGCTGGGAAAAGTCCTTTTCAGCTCTGAATTTATGCATATCTATGAATTGCTTAAATAGATAATTAGTGGGTTTATTTACACATACACATACCGTATTATATTTAGAGAAAACTAAAATGCCATTAAATCCATTTGTGAAGATAAGTGGGATAATACAGACATATAAACAATAGTGAAGCATTGAAGGTGATGACTGTCATTTTTGCTTCTCATTTTCGTTTGTCTACCCTAGGTGTTTGCCTTGTCCACACACCCTTATGGCTGCCGAGTGATTCAGAGAATCCTGGAGCACTGTCTCCCTGACCAGACACTCCCCATTTTAGAAGAGCTTCACCAGCACACAGAACAACTTGTACAGGTAGTAGAGTTGGCAGTAGAGGAATGCAAACACCTGCGGGCTCATCCAGGTCCAGAGTTTGTGTGTTTTGTTAGCGTAGGCTCCAGATGAGGTTAAGGTGTTTGAAATACCCTTAAATCTTTTGGTTGTATTTTCATTCAGAGCAGCTTGGTTTGTGTTTTATGAATATGGGTAGTGAATTGAGCCTTAGCCCTGGAGTCAGGAGACCTAGCTTCCAGAACTCTGTCATGCACTCATGGTGTCACCTTAGGTAGACAATCCCTCTAGGTCTCTGTTTCATAATTGTTAAATGAAATAAGTTGATTTTTTGATTTCTTGTTTTTAGTGGTATAGCTCTGCTTATACCACTGATTAAATAATTAGGTATGCCCTCGTTTTTTGTTGAACACAAATATTTCCAGTTTTTTTCTGTTATAATAGGTGCAGTAAACCATTTGTAATGTGTTTGAGAAAAATGAATATTTATTCCCATAACACTCCCTCCCCTTTTAAAAATGAATATGTATATTCTGTTGTCTAGTAATAATACATTCCTGTTTTGTAATAGCAGAGAAAAATGTTACTACCTGTTTAAAAAATTGTGTGTTCATTAGTCTTCATATAAGCCATTATGGTGCTAAAAGAAAGATAGGTGTTAATTAGATATAAGGACTTAAGTAACCCACAGAACTAGCTTTTGTATGCATTTTATGTCTCTTACTGTTTTTCAAACAGGATCAATATGGAAATTATGTAATCCAACACGTATTGGAGCATGGTCGTCCTGAGGATAAAAGCAAAATTGTAGCAGAAATCCGAGGCAATGTACTTGTATTGAGTCAGCACAAATTTGCAAGGTATGTGCTCTGAGTTAGAAGGACTGTTTCGCAGAAGAGAGGATTAATAGTATTGAGCTATAATTCTCTTGTTTTTTAAATTTTTTTTCCCTCAAAGTGTATATAGCTTAAAAAGTCAAATAGTTCTATTACAAAGTAGAAACTCTAAGAGGTCCGTACCTGAGTGGGCTTCTTACTGTGCTAGAGCCAGCCACTTTGAAATCTGGGGAATACGTTACTAAAGAATGTGAGTGTTACACTTTGATCAATTGATTTTATTTTATTTTTTATTGTTTGTTTGGAATTGCGAAATGTTGTTTGCCCAGTTTCCCTTTTTGGCACCTGAAAGGCAGTTTACCATCTGTATATTTATGTATAGGCCTTAGTATCTCTTCTCCAGTCTTTATATTGTTCAAGCTCAAGAATGAAATGCAGTGGTTATTCCCAGGTTATGAAAGGCATCTGATGTCACTTATAAGTAGCAGAGGTTAGAGAGGGAATTGATGGCCCTTCCATGGGGATAGTGGTATGGTCTTCTGAGAAGATACTGTATGTCCTGCTGCCCACATAACATACTACTTTTTATTTTTGGAAGATATTCTTCCCTGGTTTTTAGAATAAACTGCAAGGCAGGACAGGACTCATACAACCTTAATGTTTTTAATTTGTTCATTTTATTTTATTTTATTTTTGAGACAGGGTCATGCTCTGTTGCTCAGGCTTGAGTGCGGTGGTGCAATCTTGGCTCACTGCAACCTCCGCTTCCCAGGAATACGCAATCCTCCCACCTCAGGCTCTCAGGTAGCTGGGACTGCCAGCACACACCACCACACCCAGCTACTTTTTGTATTTTTGTATAGTGAGGGTTTTGTTGTGTTGGCCACGTTGGTCTTGAATTTTTGGACTTAATCCTCTGATGTTGGCCTTCCAAAGTGCTGGGGTTACAGGAATGAGCCACCAGTACATGGCCTCGTTCATTTTAAATTTGTGAAATTTTATAACGTGTCACAGCCTGGAAGAATAGAGAAAAGAAATGAAAGTACCTGTAGATCCAGTGTCTCCATAGCCTGACCATATCAGGGTTATCTCTTAAGATCTTACATAGTTTTGTTTTTGGGGGGTCCTTTTGACCAGTTGCCTGGACTGAGGGAGGTCAGAATCTCTTGGGTTCTCTTCTTCAGGTCAGTCTTCTGTTTACATTTTTGTTCACAGTACTTAATTTCTCACCCTTAGATTTAGCCTAAGCATTAATTAATATTACAACAAATTCAGAAATAGATTTTTAAATTTTTTTATTAAGAGACAATCTCTGTTGCTCTGGCTGGAGTACAGTGGCACAGTCCTAGCTCACTGCAGCCTAGGATTCCTGGGCTCAAGCAGTCCTCCCATGTCAGCCCCCTAAGTAGCTGAGACTATAGGTGCATACCACCATGCCCAGCTACAACAATTACAGCTAATAACTGAGGAGCTACTGTGGGCCCAGTCCTCCCATTGATAGCATGTATAAACTGGGGATGAAAATACAAGAACTACCTGAAGACACTAGAGAGTAAGCTAAGGGCAGGTGGATACCTAGGAGGTGGGTATTTCAGAAGAAGAGAATTGCACTGGGGAAATTTCTTATTTCTGATGGCCGTTAGCCTTGTGGCCATTTCCCAGTTTTCTCCGTGCTGGGCAGCTAAAGCTGGAATAGGCTGTCCTCAGGGCAGGCACGACAAAGAGAAATCCTAGAAAGGGAGAGGGCCAGTGGGAGTTGGGGGAGGCCCACTTTTAACCTGCCCCAAAGTCTGGCTGACCCCTGAACCACATGTCCAGCTAATGCTAAAAGAGTTGAACTGAGATTTTAGCTGCTGCTTACTGTGTGAGAGAAGTTTGTAGTTTGACTATAACCAAGCTAACTGCACCGTAAGGGGAGTGGGGGGGGACTTCTCTGTGGTGGAACATAACTGAATTCTGAGTTTCTATAGCCTATTATTTGCAGTGTCTATCTGGATACCAGGAAAATGTGACCTATACTCAAGAAAAAAGAAAGAAAAATCAACGAATAGTTCTAAAATGACCCAGTTATTGGGATTAATAGAGAAGGATTATACAGCAGCTGTCTAAAAATACTCAGGTGGGCCGGGCGCGGTGGCTCACGCCTGTAATCCCAGCACTTTGGGAGGCCAAGGCGGGTGGATCACGAGGTCGAGAGATCAAGACCATCCTGGTCAACATGGTGAAACCCCGTCTCTACTAAAAATACAAAAAATCAGCTGGGCATGGTGGCGCGTGCCTGTAGTCCCGGCTACTCAAGAGGCTGAGGCAGGAGAATTGCCTGAACCCAGGAGGCGGAGGTTGTGATGAGCCGAGATCGTGCCATTGCACTCCAGCCTGGGTAACAAGAGCGAAACTCCATCTCAGAAAAAAAAAAAAAAAAAAAAAAAATACTCAGGTGTTGTGGCGGGCGTCTGTAATCTTAGGTGCTTGGGAGGCTAAGGCAGGAGAATCACTTGAACCTGGGAGGTGGAGGTTGCAGTGAGCCAAGATCATGCCAGTGCACTCCAGCTTGGGTGACAGAGTGAGACTCTGCCTCGCTCTGTCACCCAGGATGGAGTACAGTGGTGCAATCTCTGCTCACTGCAACCGCCCACTCCTGGGTTCAAACAATTCTCTTGCCTCAGCCTCCCAAGTAGCTGGGATTATAGGCGCGTACTACCACACCCGGCTAATTTTTTGTATTTTCAGTAGAGATGGGGTTTTACCATGTTGGCCAGGCTAGTCTTGAACTCCTGATCTTGTTATCTGACGCCTCCCAAAGTGCTGAGATTACAGGTGTGAGCCACCGTGCCTGGCCTCAAATAAATTTATTTTTTTTATTTTTTTTATTTTTATTTATTTATTTTTTTTGAGACGGAGTCTCGCTCTTGTTACCCAGGCTGGAGTGCAATGGCGCAATCTCAGCTCACCGCAACCTCCGCCTCCTGGGTTCTGGCAATTCTCCTGCCTCAGCCTCCTGAGTAGCTGGGATTACAGGCACGCACCACCATGCCCAGCTAATTTTTTGTATTTTTAGTAGAGACGGGGTTTCACCATGTTGACCAGGATGGTCTTGATCTCTTGACCTCGTGATCCACCCGCCTCAGCCTCCCAGAGTGCTGGGATTACAGGCGTGAGCCACCGCGCCCGGCCAAATTTATTTTTTTTAAAAAACAAATTTTAGAAAAGAAAAATATAACATCTGAAATAAAATTTACTGTATGGCTTTAATAGTGGATTAGAGATGACAGAAGTCAATTAACTTGAAAATAGATAAATGGAAGTAAACAAAAAAATAAATCAGTGGCTTTCAGACATTTATTATTTATTTTTTGAGACAGGGTCTCACTTTCACCCGGGCTGGAGTGCAGTGGTGTGATCTCTGCTCACTGCAACCTCCACCTCCTGGGTTCAAGTGATTCTCTTGCCTCAGCCTCCCAAGCACCTGGGATTACAGGTGCCTGCCATTATACCTGGCTAATTTTTGTATTTTTAGTAGAGACAGGGTTTCACCATATTGGTCAGGCTGGTCTCGAACTCCTGACTTCAAGCAATCCTTCAGCCTCAGCCTTCCAACATGCTGGGGTTACAGGCGTGAGCCACTGTGCCTGCCTTTGGACATTTTTGATGGTGACCCAGAGTACAAAGTAAATTTTTATTATTGAATTTCTATGTACAGGTGCCATGCACATATATTACTGAAACATTATTGCCCATAATCCACTCTGATACTTCTATTCTGTTTTATTTAAAACCAAAAGCTGGTCACAGATCACTATATTGATTTCATTGCCCACAAATGGGTTGGTAACTGCAGTTTCAGAAACCCTAGAATGAACTTGAAAGATGGAGACCTTAGCAGCTATGTTGAGGTGGAAGCCTTTGGCCTAGTGAGATCCTGTAGTAGTAGGTGATCTACCCGCTTGCTTACTTGAAAGGCAAGTCAGTGGTGAGGACTGAGTTTTTCACCCACAAGAATGAATGTCCTGTCCCCAACCCGTTTTAGCAAACAGTCCTAATCCTGTTTTGTAGAAGAGGCTGGTCTGAAGTAGATGAAGATACAACTCAGCCAGGCAGTCTTGAAAAGTGATGAGCTCATTGCCTGAGCATTTGGAGATGTTGATGAGCTTCATAGTCTCTGAACCAGCTCAGCAATATTTTATTTTGTTTTATTACCAGACAGGGTCTTACTCTGTTGTCCAGGCTGGAGTGCATTGGTGCAGCCATAGCTCACGGCAGCCTCAGTCTCCTGGGCTCAAGCTATCCTTTCACCCCACCCTCCCGCAGTGTTAGGACTGCAGGAGTGATCCACCACAGCCAGCTTGTGACAATACTTAACTCCTATTTCTGCTAAGGGAGAAGCCAGTGGCTCCTAGGAGATTCTCTTCAACAGGGCCACACCTTCATCCCATGCTTGAGTTACATAGTACTCTGGAGCTAAGGCGGGGAAAAATACTTGCCCGTATTTCTGTATCAGAGGGGAAAAGCTATTGTTCTGATTAGATATCTAGCATATCAGATTTTATATGCACCATTTATTTTAAGAAGGAAGATTGAGGAAATGTGTGATAGGATGGTAGTTCTTTAATATTTTTGCCTGAGAATTTTTTTTTTTTTTTTTTGTCTTTTAAGTAAAAGCATTTGTATAAGTCTAGTATGTAAAAGCAGATAACACTGAGAGCGAGCCCTTTCAGAGGTCCATTGGACAACACCCTCCCTTGGTTTGAAAACCGCTGAAATAGGGTATTATTCTGGTAATGGCGTTTATGATGACTATTCACATAACCAAAGCACTGGCCTTTAGAAGGAGGAGTAAGATATCCTATCTGCCTCCATGTGCTTTTTGGGTAGGTATCCGTGTCTTCTTTCCGCCCCAAATGCCAAAATTCAGACACATGGGTGGAATTTCAGGGAAGCATGTTTTTGCTTTGGTATATAAGGAAGAATGTTTAACAGAGCTCTATAGTGGGTTGCCCTAGAAAGTGATTACCTTGGCTGGATGCAGTGACTCATGCCTGTAATCCCAGCACTTTGGGAGGCCCAGGTGGGTGGATCACGAGGTCAGGAGATACAGGCCAATGTGGTGAAACCCCTTCTTTACTAAAAATACAAAAATTAGCTGGGTGTCATGGCATGTGCCTGTAATCCCAGCTACTTGGGAGGCTGAGGCAGGAGAATTGCTTGAACCTGGGAGGCGGAGATTGCAGTGAGCTGAGATCACACCACTGCACTCCAGCCTGGCGACAGCAAGACTATCTCAAAACGAAAGAAGGAAAGTGGTTACTTCCAAATTATTGGGAATTTCTAAGTAGGGGTTAAAGGCCATTTTCAGGACTGGTAATAGAACGATGCGCATTAGCTGAGTAGAGGCTTTTAAGTTTACTACTTGAGGACTCTGTTAGCTACAGCACGTTTCACCTGGTTGCACCTGGTTGTGAACTCTTTAGAGCCTTCAGCCACTCAGCCACCCTTGAGCAGAGGTTCTCCTTGTCAGGTGTCAGGCTGGGCTCCAACATGATGAGTACAAATAATATGTATTTGACAGTGTCATTGCCACAGAGCCACAGGTACAAAGTAAAGTAGTATTGTCTTATAGAAACCAGACAGAGTAGTCACTCTGGATGGTCAGTATGCAGTGGCACAGCAGTGTGTAATTTGACCAGCCTCTGTAGTCCCTGGGGATTGGAGAAAAACTCTAATTTAATGCTACCATATTCCCCCTTTCCTGTCCCAAGGTGGTATGTTTGTGACATGTTTAGGAATACTGACAGTCCCTAGGGTTCTTCTAGTTCTTACACTCCTGAGAGGCAGTGTTTAGTAGTTGACCAAAGGCTGTGGTCCTGGCTGGCATGTTCCTTAATCAAGTCTCTAGAGCCTCTAGTAAGTGCTAAGCTGTCTGCTTGGCAGCAGGGAGATAGGCATAAGTACGGTTCCTTCCTGGCCTTGGTGAGCTCACAGAGGCAAGGAAAGAATGGACAGACATTGGTAAGTGTTGAACTAATAACCTGCTGGATAGTGAACCAGTCCCCTGAATCTTGCGTTGAAATCTCCTCACCTACCTGGGCTCCTTACTCTCGCCCATTTAGAGGGCCGGGTCCCATGTCCTTGAAGACCTGGTCTCTCTGGCTGATCAGGATGCAGTAGCATGGCAGTGTATAATTTGATCACCCTCTGTAGTGCCCGTGGATTGGAGAAAAACTCTGATTTAATGAAGCCACATTCCCCCTTTCCTACAATTGGATGCCACCGATGGCATAGGTGGAGAGCCTTAGAGACTGAGAGTGTCGGACAGTTGACAACTCATCTTCCACAAATGCTAGCTCTATCTTCCTGCTGGTCCTGAGGTCAAGGCAGAGGCTAGGCAAGCACAGCCTCACTAATAGGGCTCCTCTTCTAAGTGTTGTCCCTGGTTTTATCTTGTGACAGCAATGTTGTGGAGAAGTGTGTTACTCACGCCTCACGTACGGAGCGTGCTGTGCTCATCGACGAGGTGTGCACCATGAACGACGGTCCCCACAGTGCCTTATACACCATGATGAAGGACCAGTATGCCAACTACGTGGTCCAGAAGATGATTGACGTGGCAGAGCCAGGCCAGCGGAAGATCGTCATGCATAAGGTAGGCCAGGCCGGGCAGGGTCTCAGAGAAAGTGTGCAAGGCCTTGCTGCTTTCTGAAACACAAAGAAGGGTGGGTGCCCTGCTGTTATTGAAGAGCTGTCACTGACCCCCATCCATCCTGTATTCTGTTCTTCTTTTATGTGGAGCCATCATAGTCCTTACGCATTTGCCAGCCTTCCCTTATCAATAACCACACTGATAGGAAAGTCTTAAGCTATGTTTTTTGAAGTATTTCCATTCCTGATCTCTAGGAAATCAGTTTGTGAGTTCAGTAAACCAACCTGCTTACCTCATTTCTTTTATCCCTCCTTCCTCTTGTTCTTTGATCCCACCAACATCTGTTGAACAAGGGCCTGCCCAGCATGGTGCATCCATAGCCTGGCACATTGGCCTGAAGCCCACTCTGTGCCAGACTTCATCAGCATAGAGACGACTAAGACCTGATTCCTGCCCACAGAGTGTAGTCTGGTGGGGAAGAGCAATGGTGGTGAGCAGTGGTCAGGATGGGAGAAGGGCCTCTCACCCTCCCCAGAGTCCCTGAGGGCCGGCTTTGCAGGAGAAGGCAAGGCTAAAGAAGGATTAGACGGGGAAAAGGAACAGAAATGAGAACACGTAGGTGCTTTGAGTGGGGAACTGACAGAGAAGTCACCAGAAGAGGCCCACAGCTTCTTGACAAAGTCACTGCGTGGGTCCAGTGAGCACCGCACACACCACGGGGCCCAGGAAGCAGAACAAACCCACAGGCAGGGTGTGCTACAGTTGTGTTTGTGCTAGGCAGTGCGCCCAGTGTCTGGTGCTTCTCATCAGAGCCTTCAGCTTTTGGGCTCTGAGCTCACTCAGCCCTTCTCAGTTGAGGGGTTGGTTGGCTGTTGTCTGGCAATGATGACCCACTTGCCCTCACTGAGAACAAAGTTCGGTAATGAGAATCTTTGTTACGGACTCAAGTTCTGAGCCAGACAAGACACCCAGCACCTCTGAGTCAGAGCACACCGCTCCAGACCACGCCACCGCTACTGGCATGGCAGCTGAAGGCTGGGGAATTCCCAGGTCCTTAAAGTTGTAAGTTGTCAGGAGGCAGGTAAAGAGAGAGGGAGTATTGGAGGTAAGTAGGAGTTTAAGACATGTCCATTCATTCATTCAGTAAGTGCTCAACGTGCTGTACAGCAGGTCCTATTCTCAACAGGGTTGTAATGGTAAACATGACAGTGCTGTGCACGGATAGTTACTGTAATGCTGGAAGGGGAAGGGGTTGTCCAGGAATAGGGCAGGGAGTCTCCTACAACGTGTGGGTGCAGAGGAGGCTCCCTAAGGGAGTGATATTTAATAAAGTGATGACCCCTTCCAGAAGACGGAACATGGTGTGTGAAGACTGGGAAGCCGGAGACCAGACCATGCTGTATCTGAAGAAGTAAAGCGAGTTCAGAGGGGGAGGAGTGTGGTGACAAAGTCATACTTACGTTTCAAATAATTGTCCTGGCTACCCTGTGGCCTTTACAGTTCAGAGGAGGGGAGGCAGTGATGAGACCACGTGGGAGGCCGTTAAGCAACACGTGGCGATGGTTTGGGACTGAAGAGAAGTGGACAGAATAGGGCGCTAGAGTCAGTAGGCTTTAGCAGTTGGTTCGCTGAGGGAGTTGACGGAGAGCCCTGAGAAGCCCTCTTAGTTTTTCAGCTCTTCCATTCCTAAGTGGTGTCCTTTTCAGCAAAAGGGACACTAGGAGAGAAGCAGATTAATTATGTTTCACCTCTTGTTAAATCCAATAAAGTATGGAGTTCAACACATTGTGTGTGTGGCTTGTTAGGGCTGTTCTGTTTTGTTCTGGAGAAGTGTAAAGGTGAAGTGCCTGGACTCATCAGCAGCCAGTTCCAGGGACAGAGAGGAATGGATTGGATTTTGCTTATTTTCTAAAGGATAAGGGGATCCTGAACCCCAAGTTCTCATAACAGAAACATTAGTAACTACAACTCAGAGGAAAGGTGTAGCATTATTGCATGCTGTCATACAGGTGAGCTTAAGGGAGGTTAAACTAGAACCAAGGACTGTTTGCTGCCCGCCAGCTTCCCATGTACACTCTTAAGTAGGAATGTGACACCTGATGCAGCTCAGTGTCCTGGAGGCATGCATACGTGGTTTCTGGATTGGATCAATCCCTCCTTGCTTTGAGGACACGGCTAAACAGACAAATACTGGTGCCATCATGGAGCTCTCAACCTGGAGAGCCTCTGTCTACTGTGGTACATTTGTCCAGTGTGTTTGGGTATTCAGGTGCAGGTTTAGATTGGGGAATCAGATGAATAAACTGTGGTTCTTTGCCGTTTATATGGAAAGATTGATAATTATGCAAAAGATTGCAGACACAGCAGAGGTATGTAGAATACTCCCTGAGCTCACAGAAAAGGAAAGCACCTCCTGGAGAGGAAGCACCCTTCAAGTTTTCTGGAATGCAGGACTTCTTGAAATAGATCAGCCCAGGGAGGGAAGAACAGAAAGGGAATGCCTGGAGAGGTGAGCAGAGCATAGGTCGGAGAGCCAGAGGGATGAGGCTGGTGCAGCGGGCACGCGTGAGAGCACAGTGGGAGGACCGTCATTTGTGGAGAAGCCTTGCAGCTTGGGCTCAGCTGTCTGTGCTGTCCTTTGTTAGCCATTCAACCTTGACTGAGTGACTTCACCACTCTGTGCCTTCATGTTTTCCATCAGTAAGATGGGGATAATGACACCCGGCTCATGATGTTCATTGTTTCTCTTCTTGTCATTGATTAGCTTTCTGTGATCAACTGTGACCTGGAGAGACAGGGTCAAGTGGTGAGCTCAGGATTCATGGTGCCCAGAAATAACCCCCACTGCTCAGGAGAGCCTGGATGCTGTGCATGGGGCCAGAGGGCCCTGTGTGTGTGCTTTCAGGAAAGCACCGTGCAGCTGGCGGAGAGTGGGCAGTGTGTGTTCCCAGCAAGGATGCGCTTTCTTCTCGTGCTGTCCTGGGAGTGGCCCATGCCACCCAGCCTTCAGAGCCCTCAGGCTGTGTGGCACCACTCAAGATAGGAGCTCCTCTCCTCCTCTGATGGGTTGCTAAAGTGCTAAAAGTCAGGTGACTGGCCTGAACCAGTGAAAGGTTATTGCTGTGGGGTGTACATGTGCGCGTGATGCGTGTCTGGGAAGCCTGCCCAAGAGTCTCTACTCAGGCCGTGTAACGCAGACTGTCTTTCCTCCCCAGATCCGGCCCCACATCGCGACTCTTCGTAAGTACACCTATGGCAAGCACATTCTGGCCAAGCTGGAGAAGTACTACATGAAGAATGGCGTTGACTTAGGACCCATCTGTGGCCCCCCCAATGGTATCATCTGAAGCAGTGTCACCCGCTCTTCCCTCATTCCCACTGACCTCACTGGCCCACTGGCAAATCCAACCAGCAACCAGAAATGTAGTGTGGAGTCTGAGACGGGCAAACGGTTGCTCCAGGATTACTCCCTCCTCCAAAAAAGGAATCAAATCCATGAGTGGAAAGCCTTTGTAAATTTAATTTTATTACACATAACATGTACTATTTTTTTTAATTGACTAATTGCCCTGCTGTTTTACTGGTGTATAGGATACTTGTACATAGGTAACCAGTGTACATGGGAGGCCACATATTTTGTTCACTGTTGTATCTATATATCACATGTGGAAACTTTCAGGGTGGTTGGTTTAACAAAAAAAAAATCTTTAAAAAAAAAAAAGAAAAAAAAAAAAAAAGAAAAGGTTTTTAGCTCATTTGCCTGGCCGGCAAGTTTTGCAAATAGCTCTTCCCCACTTCCTCATTTTAGTAAAAAACAAACAAAAACAAAAAAACCTGAGAAGTTTGAATTTTAGTTAAATGACCCCAAACTGGCATTTAACACTGTTTATAAAAAATATATATATACATATACATACATATATATATATATATATATATATAAATGAAAAAGGTTTCAGAGTTGCTAAAGCTTCAGTTTGTGACATTAAGTTTATGAAATTCTAAAAATTGCCTTTTTTGGAGATGATATGCCGAGGAAGGCTGTTTGTGAGGAGGAGACGCGAGCACCCAGAGCGTCTTTTGAGGCTGGGCGGGTGTGACTGTTTACTGCCTACTGGATTTTTTTCTATTAACATTGAAAGGCAAAATCTGATTATTTAGCATGAGGAAAAAAAATCCAACTCTGCTTTTGGTCTTGCTTCTATAAATATATAGTGTATACTTGGTGTAGACTTTGCATATATACAAATTTGTAGTATTTTCTTGTTTTGATGTCTAATCTGTATCTATAATGTACCCTAGTAGTCGAACATACTTTTGATTGTACAATTGTACATTTGTATACCTGTAATGTAAATGTGGAGAAGTTTGAATCAACATAAACACGTTTTTTGGTAAGAAAAGAGAATTAGCCAGCCCTGTGCATTCAGTGTATATTCTCACCTTTTATGGTCGTAGCATATAGTGTTGTATATTGTAAATTGTAATTTCAACCAGAAGTAAATTTTTTTCTTTTGAAGGAATAAATGTTCTTTATACAGCCTAGTTAATGTTTAAAAAGAAAAAAATAGCTTGGTTTTATTTGTCATCTAGTCTCAAGTATAGCGAGATTCTTTCTAAATGTTATTCAAGATTCAGTTCTCACTAGTGTTTTTTTTAATCCTAAAAAAGTAATGTTTTGATTTTGTGACAGTCAAAAGGACGTGCAAAAGTCTAGCCCTGCCCGAGCTTTCCTTACAATCAGAGCCCCCTCACCTTGTAAAGTGTGAATTGCCCTTCCCTTTTGTACAGAAGATGAACTGTATTTTGCATTTTGTCTACTTGTAAGTGAATGTAACATACTGTCAATTTTCCTTGTTTGAATATAGAATTGTAACACTACACGGTGTACATTTCCAGAGCCTTGTGTATATTTCCAATGAACTTTTTTGCAAGCACACTTGTAACCATATGTGTATAATTAACAAACCTGTGTATGCTTATGCCTGGGCAACTATTTTTTGTAACTCTTGTGTAGATTGTCTCTAAACAATGTGTGATCTTTATTTTGAAAAATACAGAACTTTGGAATCTGGGTTTGTGCTTTATTTTAACCTCCCCCCCACCCCCACCTCCAGTGCAGTTCCCCAGGACAGCCCTTTCCTGCTCAGGCTTCTTTCTGCCTGTTTTGTTGTTTTGTGAGGGTGGGGGGAGGGCTGTCAAACTGATGGCTGTTGAGGCCAATTTAAACCAGAGATGTTCGGTTCAGCCTGCCCAGTGCATTCAGACTCAAGATATTTCACGTAAAAATCCAGATTTCCAACTTTGCACATGAGAATATTCTTGGGCCCCTCAGGTGAGGTGTCTGGGTTACAGCACTGTCTGTCTGGGCCTCTCTTCTTCCCCCTTTCCTCTGTTTGGCCTGCTCCAGTTGCACCCTGCCAACCCATGCCCACTACTGAGGCCCACCAAACGGTCCAGTGTCCCAGCATGCTTGTCTCTTCAGACAGGAGTCTTGAGCTCACCATGGTGCCTGTTGCCCAGGCCTGAAGATGCCATCTGCCCTTTTCACCGACTTTGCTCCAGCGGCAGTTTTGGTAAGTGTTAGGAATTACAGGATGGGTCCAGCTGTAGAGGCCAGGTGGTAGCCCACACCAGCCGGTGTCTGAAAGTGGAGCCGTGGGAATAGAGGGAGAAGAAAAAGAAGTGGAGGGAATGCAGGTTTCCAGTCTGGCTTCCAGTCGTGATTTTTCTGACTGATTTCCAGTCGTGATTTTTGCCTCAGCAGCTGTCATTGGGGCCCTTCCCCACCATGGCAGTAGCCATCATGGTGCTTTCAGAGGTGGCATGCTGCAGGCATTGGGAACTGTAGCCCATGTTGCTCTGATGCCCCAGATTGACCTGGGGTCACATGCAGGTCTCACCACTCTGTGTGCCCTTGGGCAAGTTACTTCACTGTCTTTCACCAAATTTCTTGCTGGAAGTGGGCCAAAGGTAACAGATCTATGTAAAGTGGTTCTCTCGTCATGTCATGGGAAGTTACGGCTATTATATTCAGTGCCCAGCACACTGGTGTAATAAATGAGGGCAGTTTTCCTGTGCAGTTTTTCATAAACAAAACTATCTTTGCTCATTAGTTTACATAATCATGCCATTTGTTGTGAACTGACTGCGCCAAGGCACCCATCAGATGGTTTTTACATGTTCTAAACAACTGTTCTGGGAGCCGACAGCCCTGGGAAGAATGTGGCTATCCCTATCTCATAGATGCAGAAACAGGTCCTGGGATCTGATGTAAGTCTTTTGATCAGACCAACTCTGATCAATAAAGCTTGTGGCTTTCCCCTTAGCTCATCATGGGAGGAGGTGGGTCTGGGACAGTCCCCTCCCTCCGCAGGATTGAGTTTCATGGGGCAGGTTGGGCTGTGGGCCACCCCTTCTTCTGGCCACCATTACGCTGCTACCAAGTCCATCCCAAGGATTCAATGACCCTGCTGCCGCACACTGGGTACCAGCATTCTTGATCTCTCTTCCAGAATCCCTCCAACATGCGTTCCTCAGTTTCTGTAAAAACCCTTACCCTTTAAAGGTGCTTTACAGTTTACAGAGTACTTGGTATTTGAGATAACTTTGGTCCTTGTGGAAAGCCTTTGGGAGTCAGGTAGGGGAGATGTTTCGGCCCTTCATACAGATAAGGAGTTTGAGACCCAAGCGCCGCAGTCAGTCAGTAACCAGGTGAGGATTTTATCTGAGATTGCCTGACACCCAGACCAGTGCCCTGTCCATGCCATCTTGTCCTTGCCACCCACCACCGGCCCTAATAATGGCCATCTTTGCTTTTTGAGGCTCAGAGGGATTACAGAAGGGTGAGGCACGGGGGAGTGAAGCATCCTTTTGAGAGAGGAAACCTGCGACTTTATCTAGTTACCAGCTGTAGCCACACGAGGGTGCTGCCACCTAAAGCAAGCATTATGGAGGCCCAAGGAGTCAAGGTCAGGGTTGGGATGGCTTTCCCCTGGCTAAAATTGCTCGGGGGTGGAGTTAGGAATCCCACTCAGAGACCAGAAGTCCGACATCTGCCTGGAAACTAAGCTTTCTCCCTTCTTCACTCCCTCTCCTCCTTCTCCCTCCAGTGTCTGCAGTGCATAACACTAGGCCCAATACTGGCCTGGGGTAGGAGGGTCTGGTCACTGACCTGGCTCACGGACCTCAGCTTTGCCTTTGACTGTGTGACCTCTGGCACATCACTGACTTCTCCGGACCTTGGTTTCCCCAGCCGTCATCTGGAGTGGTAGACCAGGCCTGTCACTCTCACAGGGCTAGATGAGGTCATACAGGAAGATAGAGGGGGCAGCCCCCTGCCTCTGTGAATGCAACCCTGGTGCCTCTTTCTGGGGTCACATCCTGGCTTTTGCATCAACCTTTAAAACAACCCACACCTCCCAGTCTATTTATGACTGAGCTTCAAATTCCAGCTCTGCCTGGCCCTATGTGGCCATCTGCCTTCTGTCTTTCCTCAACTCTTAAATGGGGATAATAATGGCTTTATTTCACGGGGTATATTGGAAGCCCTTGGCACACGCAGGGCTGGGGGCACAATATGCCATAAATAGGAGTTATTATTACCTCCAATTTTTCCCTGCTATGTTGGGGCCCTTGGTGTTTTCACTAGGGTGAAACTGGGTGTTGGACAGGAACTGGACTAGCTGTGGCCTAGTATACTGGCTTCCAGACTGGAGTCCAGATTGGGATCTGGAGGTCGAAGTGAGTGTTGGACAGGAAAATGAACAGGGTCCAGCTGGAAGCCTTGAGTAAGCACATTTTTAGAAGGACAGGGCATTGTGGGTTCACCAGAATCTAAGGAGTCTGAAACTCCTGTCTGGAACTAATTTTATGTTTAGAAACCAAAGACCCAGAACCTGTGCCATTCTAGTGAAATGGATGCGCCTTGGGAAGATAACTTACAATTATAGTGGCCACAATAGGGAATTTTTACTCTAGACGAAATTATTCCTCTATGGGTGCGTTAAAAAAAGAGGATTCTGGGTACTTAAAAACAATTAGATGCATTTTTTGATGGTACACAGAAGCTTTCAAAAGGCAGAATTATTTTTTTAAGCCTTTTAATAAATCTCTACAGTACACTCATAAATATTATTTTAAGGCTGGCGTGGTGGCTCATGCCTATAAACCCAGCACTTTGGGAAGCCGAGGCAGGCAGATCACCTGAGGTCAGGAGTTCGAGACCAGCCTGGCCAACATGGTGAAACCTCATGTCTACTAAAAAAAAAAAAATACAAAAATTACATAAGCATGGTGGCGGGTGCCTGTAATCCCAGCTACTCAGGAGGCCGAGGCACGAGAATCGCTTGAACCCAAGAGGCAGAGGTTGCAGCCAAGATTGTGCCACTACACTCCAGCCTAGATGACAGAGCGAGACTCTGTCTCAAAAAAAGGAAAAAAAAAAATATTTTGAATCTACAAATCTGTTTGATCTCTTATTGCTTTCCATATGAATACTTGAGTATTCTCGACACCATCTTCCTTTAAAAGATCTTCGAGTGAGCCAGGAGTATCTGCAACAAGTAAAGGCACATTTTGGCATTGCACACGATTTGGCTATTATAAAGCAACTGCCTGAGACTAACTGGAAAAAGGTTGGATTTTTTCCCAGTCACTCACCTAAAACCTAGTCCACAGTCGTAATAAGACTGACTCCCGATACTGAGTAGATATGCTCCAAGACCCCCTTTTGGAGAAAACCTAACAGCCTTTCTGCTGAGAAATGTTTAAATCTTTAAAATGCAAACTTCAAAGAATGACTCATCAGAATAAAAAAAAAACAAAGAACTTTTTAGAAAAGTAGCAAATGAAAGAATCCTGAATGTCTTTTCCAAAAATATGAATGAAAGCCTTTAGCCATCTGAACAGGTAACTTTAACTGTAAAGAATGCAATTTAGATCCAACTAGGGAGTTTTATATTATTGTGCCTGACACATGGCTCCAATTTCAGAACAGAAGTCGTGAATCTCTGTGTCTGTATGTTTATGTATGTCTATGCTATTTATTTATTGTTGTTATTATTATTGAGACTAAGTCTTGCTCTGCCGCCCAGGCTGGAGTGCAGTGGCATGATCTTAGCTGACTGCAACCTCCACCTCCCAGGTTCAAGCGATTCTCCTGCCTCAGCCTCTCAATTAGCTGGGATTACAGGCATGTGCCACCACGCCCGGCTAATTTTTGTATTTTTAGTAGAGACGGGGTTTCACCCTGTTGGCCAGGTTGGTCTCAAACTCCTGACCTCAAGTGATCCACCTGCCTCAGCCTCCCAAAGAGCTGGGATTACAGGTGTGAGCCAATGTGGCTGGCCTATGTATGTCTATGTTACTTAACTGTAATATCATTCTATCTCCAGATGGTATTAGAAATAATATATATATATATATGAATGACAGAGTCTCATTCTGTCACCCAGTCTGGAGTGCAGTGGTGCAAATCTTGGCTCACTGCAACCTCCACCTCCCAGGCTCAAGCAATTCTTGTGCCTCAGTCTCCCCAGTAGCTGGGATTATAGACATCTGCCACCACGCCTGGATAAATTTTTTTATTCCTAGTAGAGACAGGATTTCTCTCTCTCTTTTTTCTTTCTTTTTTTTTTTTTTTTTTTTTTTTTTTTTTTTTTTTTTTTTTTTTTTTTTTTTTTTTTT